TTTTTGGTTTTTCTCTGGTACAGGGAACCGAACTCACGACCTTGCGCTTGCCAGTCAGGCGCTTTTGCCGCTGAGCTAAATCCCCAGCCCCTCCCCTGGATTTTTGTCTTGGTGTCACCACCACAAACTGGCCTGAAACAATAGGGAGAATCGTCTCAGGGTTTTGGAGGCCAGGAGTTCTGTCCAGCTGCCTGTAGGGCCACAACATGATGGTCCTGTGTGTCCCTGGTCTTCCATTTCTGTCCAGATCTCCCTCTTCAGAAAGATAACTGTCACATTCCACCAGGCTCCACCCTAATGCTGCAGTTGAGTGGGCCAAAATGGTCCAGGTTCTTGTGTATGGCAAGGAAAGAATTGAGCATATACTTTGTAGTATCTATTAAGTTTATTGAAAATCTCTGGGCAGCAGCAGAACAGGTAGGAGAGTGCAGCCAGCAAAAGGGCTTTGTAATTCCAGTATTTATAGGGTCAGACATCCCTGGTGCTGGGTGCCTCCTGCTGCCTGTCTGCTGATGTGAGCATCTGTAGGACCTCCTAAATACATTCTGAGTAATACCTAGGGTGGTAGTGTGTTTAGGCTTGAATGGAGTGGCTCACACAACTTCTTGTGGGATTATGGAAGCATGGGTAACCATTAGGGTGCTGTGATGTTTATAGTTGAACGGAAGGAAGGGAGTGACTTGGCTCCTTTGTTTCGGACTACTACTAAGGCTTCATTTTATTTTATTTTTGTCTTTTTGATACAGTGTCGCTATGCAGTTCAGGCTGGCCTTGAACTCACTTTGTAGCCCAGGTTGGCCTAGAGCTCAGGGCAATCCTCCTACCTCAGCCTCCCGAGTGCTGGGATTACAGGTGCGTGGGCCACCTGGCCTGCCCAGGCTAAAGCTTCATTTCAGCTTGACCTCCATAGACACGCTGTGAACAAAGGTCACATTCTGAGATCCTGGCGGTTAAGATTTCAGCATATCTATAAGGATACAGTTAAATGTGCAATGGGCCAAACCTGAACCAAGGGTATTCTGTGGAGCCTGGGAATTTTTTTTTGAGACAAGTCTCACTACTTAGTCTCACTACATAGTGTTGGTTACATAGTGTTGAACGCGCGATTCTCCTGCCTCAGCCTCCCAAGCTGGGGTTACGGGGTGCACTGCCACGCCCGGCTGGTCCGACAACTTTCTCGAGGCATCTGCACGGCCTCAGAGGGAGAATCTTATTTCCTGCTCCCTTCCTAGACCGCGGCCTGCTCTGAGCAGCCCCGCCTCGGGCCGGTCTATCGGGCACTCCTCCGCGCCCTGGTCCAGCCCCTCCCGTCTCCGCCCCGCCCAGCCGGCCTCGCTCGCAGAAGCCCCGCCCTGTGCCCCGGAAGGAGACGGGAGCGGCGTGGGCGGCGTGGAGTCCTATCGGCTGGATGGCGGGTAGCCGGCTGCGGGAGCTGCAGGCCGTGGACACCGAGCTCAGCGCGGATACCGTGGAGTGGTGCCCGCTGGAGGGCTGTCGGCGCCTACTCGCCTGCGGCACCTACCAGCTGCGCAGCCCCGGGGACGAGGTGCTGAGGACTGGGGACCGGGGGGCGCGTTGGGAGCGGGGTGGGGGGCGACCAGCACCAGCGGCCCCAGCACCGTGTTGGCCCCGCACATTCCTCGGCTGTCGGGGCCTTCTTGGGATATGCAGCAACTTTGCATGCCGGGTCCAGAGAGCTCACATTACTGCTGATCAGAGCCGGGGAGAGCTCGGGCCACTCAGGTTGGGTTCTGCCTCTAGACGGAGCCTGTCTCTGGAAGCCTGCCCGGCTCCCCGGCTTCTCGCGTGCCTGTCAGGGTAACCGAGAAGGTGTATGTTTCCTAGGCCGACTTGGCTGGGCAGCCGCAAGTCCGTCTAGGCCGCGTCTGCCTGCACAGTTTCAGTGAGGACGACCCTGCTCACCCTCTGGCCGAGGTCCAAAGGAGGGATACGGCTGGAGTGCTGGACATGAAATGGTAGCGCGGGTAACCCCCACCCGGCCTGGCGTTTGTGCTGAGCATCTATCTGTTCGCGGAATGGGGCCTGTTGTCTGAGGGCTTTTAGCAAGACGGGGAACACCTGTGCTGTGGTCCCTTCTTTGCTGGCCCACCAGCTGTTGGTAGGTGGTCAGGTAGATGCTTCCTTGGGCTCATTGCCCTTGTTTCCTAGGTCAGTCCGAGAGGCAACAGCAGCTCTGCCTTCATAAGCCAGGGACCCTGTGGGCCGGCTGTAGAGTCCGTGGGCTTTAACTTGGCTTTGAGCTGAAACTAAGTGAAAAATCCCAAGATGGTAATGCTCCCTGGCTGCAGCTCACCCTGGGTTCTGACGGTGCACTTTCTCCCCAGGTGCCACGTCCCGGTGGCCGGCTGTGGCGTCTTGGCTGTGGCAGATGCCAGTGGTTCTGTAGAGCTGCTCCGCCTGGTGGGATCTGAGGTGCCTGGCTCTGTGGGTAGAGAGGGCTGGGCTGGGATGGGCTGTAGGGCTAGACAGCTTCCTGAAGTTGTCTGTTTGGTGCTGGAATTGTCTTGAACATGCTAAGAAGGTGCAGAGTTTGCTTTCACTTGTTCTGGGTTCTAGTGAGAGGCATCACCTCCCGTGACCCTGCAGAAGAGCTGCAGTGACAATCCGCTCACTCCGTAGCCTGAGGTTGTGCAGGGACAGTAAGGCAGGGATGTCTAGGGTTGATGTGGGGCTGAGAACAGCAGTGGTGTTCCCCTGTGAAAGTGGGTTTCTCAGGGGGGCAGCCGGCTCCTGTGTGATTGATTTCTGAGGTTTCACAGTGATCTGATCCTGTGCTTTGGCAGAATGAATTTGTCTGTCAAAAAATGGTGGGGAGCAGGGATCCTCCTGAGTGAAACTACATTGCTTGTCCCTGGCCATGTGCTAATTGGGAGATACCAGCAGATGCTGCAGTAGAACTGGGCAAAAGTCCCCTGAGCTAATTTGTGGTGTCAAGGGCCTGGGCAGGAAGGGCCTGGCTTCAGGCCTGCTAGAGCAGTCGCTCATTCTAGGGATGAGGGAAGGAAAGGCCCAAGACCAGGTTCCAGGCAGAAGCAAGTACATCCAGGAAGGGCCCTTGGATCCCACTGGGTGGCTGCTGATGGCGTTACCACTGTTCAGGTGTTCAGGTAACAAAACCCACCAGTCCTAGACAAGAGAAGTAGCATTTGAATGGCTCTGGTGGCTTCTGAAATGGAAGATGAGGAAAGTTCCCACTGTGCCCATCTCTGGGGACTGAATGGGCCAGGTCCCCTAGAGGCCGGGTGGTGCCCAGCATGTGCCCCTCAGAGCCTACAGAGGCAGCACCGTGTCTGGGAGAGACCGTCTTGTCCCTAGGTCACATGTGTGGGGAAGTCTGGGGTGAGCACCAGGGTCCTCAGCCCTGCCCGGTGTCTGGCATGTGGCACGCTGGCAATGTGCCGTGTCCTCCCGGGGAGTGAGCCTGGGAGCAAGGCTCAGGGCTCCTTTCTCCAGTAGGAGAGCAGACCCCTCCTGGAGCCTTGGTCCAGCCTCTCACTGGGGGAGGAGCGTCTGGCCTTGTCACTGGATTGGTCCACAGGGAAGCGTGGAAGGTAAGGCGCAGGCTTGGTGAGAGGCCTCAGGCTTTCCTCTGATGACTGGCTCCTGTCTTTACACTAGCCCTGATCTGAAAACCAGGAAAGTCCTAGCATGCTGGATGAATGGTGGTAATGTCACTGGTGGAAGCTGACAGCTCCCTCATCTCCCCATGTCCAGGCCCAGTGACCAGCCCTTGAAGATCATCAGCAGTGACTCCAAGGGGCAGGTGCACCTCCTCATGCTGGACGAGGCGGCACCCAAGCTGCAGCAAGTGGCCATGTGGCAAGCCCACCGCTTTGAGGCCTGGGTCGCTGCTTTCAACTACTGGCAGACAGAAGTTGTGTATTCAGGTCAGTGTCCCTCCACTGATGTTGACACGGTTGGCGCCATGAAGAACATGGGTGAGGGAAGCAGGGAATGAGGCTCTGGTGAGGGCTGAGGTGTCGCCCATCTGCATGCAGACTGCATTTCCTGAGACAGCAGTGTGGCCAGCAGTAGGTACTCTCCCACAGAGAGCCATGCCACCTGCCTCTGCTCAGCCTAAGTGCCAGCCGCAGTCTCCGTACTTCTCCCCGGCTGCTGGTCTCTGATTTCAGGCTGTACTTTACCTTCTGAAAGAAAAGGAAGCATGAAAGAAATCAGGTGAATTCTTTGGTCCTTTGGGTGGTTTGTACTTCCGGGATACCAATGTGGAATAAGCAGGTAGCAGCTGGGCAACTTTGGGGAGTGCCTCTTGTGCAGGTGGAGGTAACTCATGGGAGGTGGAGGCGCTGGGCTTTGAAAGAAGATAGGAGAGGAGTCCCCAGATTTGCAAAGGGCTGACGTAAAGAGCTAACTCCCACTCCTCTTTTTTGGGGGCATATTGGAGATGGGACCCAGGGAAATTCTATCACTGAGCTATATTTGTAGCCCTTTTTTTTTTTTCAGAGAGGGTCTCACTTGGTCGAGCAGGCTGCCCTTGAACTTGTGACCCTCTTGCCTCAGGCTCCCAAGTAGCAAGGATGGTCGGTGTGCGACAGTGTGCCTGGCCAATCTGACCTCTTTTGTAAACACCAGGATGGTGGGAGGGCCAGGGAGGTGTAGTGGAGACGTTCTCTTCAGGTGCTGAAGACCTGCATGTCTTCCCACCCTGCAGGCTCTTCTGCTCAGTCCCACGTGCCAAGGCCTTTGTTGGTGGCCATGGGGGTTGCCTGTATCCCAGGCAGCTTCCTGGGCTAGTCAGCCTGTCTTGGCCCTCTCTTCCCGGATCATAGCCCCAGGTGTTGGGTGTGGGTGGATGGATAAATGGTGCTGGGTGGTGGCCGGACGGTGGATGGGGGTAATCAGGCCTTGACATTTTTCTCCCTTCCTCCCCGGTGGGTCCTGCTCCTTAGCTTTTCTTCTGTTCCCTCTGCTGCCACCCTCCACCCTGGGTCTGGATGTTGCTGTTCTTCAGACTGGTTGTGGGCCAGGGCACCAGGGCACCCGTTCTTTATCCTTTGCGGTTCCCTTCCAGCCAGTGTGGGGTCCTTTTCCCTGTGGGTTACAAAGGGAGTTCCCATTGCAGCCCAGGGGCGTGTGCTCTAGTCTGCTGCTCCCTGTAGGCGGCTTTGGTAGGGGTCAGCCTGGGCAGGTGGGACTGTGATGCTGGAGCCTGGTAGCAGGTAGCCTGGCTAGTGTGACCTGGCACCCACCCTGTGGGTGTCACGCGTCTCTTCTGCCTCCCAGCCTTCCTCAGGTCTGAGATGGGTGCAGTGGTGGCTGTTCCTGCTTTCTCTGGGGCTCTCCTCTTCCAGGGTATCCTGAGCCCTCAGGGATGGTCACCCAGGGACCTCACAGCCCCGCCCCCGGCTGTGCCCCACCATCAGTGCTGTGACGCTGGGCCCATGTCCACACAGGGGGAGACGATGGCCTCCTGAAAGGGTGGGACACCAGAAGCCCTGGCTCGTGTGTCTTCACCAGCTCGAGGTAACTGCCCAGGGGCAGTGTGGGGACCCAGCCCCAGCCTGTGGGCCCCTGTCCCCACTGGTGCTCAAGCTAGCTGTTGTCTGTTGTCTGCAGCCATGCCATGGGTGTGTGTAGCATCCAGAGCAACCTGTACCGGGAGCACATCCTGGCCACAGGGAGGTGAGTGCTGCCCCCTTCGTGGTGCCCACAGCCCGCTGTGCAAGTGTCTGGGTTGAGAGAGGGGTCGGGAAGAGTGGGATGGGTCTCCTGGGAGGTGCCCTGCCTTGGGGAGGGACTGAGCCCTGGCTCCACCTGCCCTGGGCGGATGCTTCCAGCTATGATGAGCACGTGCTCCTGTGGGACACGCGGAACATGAAGCAGCCGTTGGCAGATGCTCATGTGCAGGGCGGGGTGTGGAGGCTCAAGTGGCACCCATTCCACCGAGACCTCCTTCTGGCGGCCTGCATGCACCAAGGCTTTGCGATCCTCAACTGCCGTGAGGTCACAGGTACGTGGGGTATGTAGCTGGCTGGGCTCTGCACCCCTCCTGTTCCAGACTCACTGTTTCCCTCCGCACCCACCCAGACCTTGGTTTCCACACCTGCTCTCACCTGCTTTTCCTCTCGGCCGTCCAGCTCCTCCTGCGTTCCCTAACTCTCTGGCCCCGCTTGGCCCCTTGCCGCTCTCATGCAGCCCACCTCAGTTTTTGCCTGGGAGCGGTGTAGACTCTGGGCCCGTGTCCCACACACTCAGGCAGAGCCCTGCATTTGCTGAGCCCAGCTCCTGGAGTCACCTCACTTCCAAGGATACCCATGGCATCGCTAGTACAAACCGCCAAGGTCAAGGCTGTTCCTTGTGTCCTGCGTCCTGTCGCTGCACTCCCGGCCATCATGCCCACCAGCCTCCTCCCGCATCTGTCCTGGCTGTGCTCCTCTCCTCTGCATCCCCCCTTTTCTTGCTCGCTCACTTGTTGTACCTTTGGTGATGGGAACATCTGTCATCCTAAAACATCGGAGGTCTGCTGTCTTGTCATACTGCTCATGGCACTCAAGTGCCGCGCTTGTCGCACCCTGAACACCTCAGTTTGTCAGATCTCTGTTCTCGTCATCGCAGGCATTTTGCAGTCTCCCTTGTGATCTCTTTGTTGACTGGTGCTGTTTACTAGTGCACTGTGTAGGGTTGTGATTTCTGGAGCTGCAGGCTGCCTTGCTTGCTCAGGAAGAGTGCGTGTGTGCACGTGCTCAGGCCCGCTGCTCCTGCGTCCTCGCCCACTGTCTGGGTCGACTTGTAGGTGGGGGCTTGGAGACTCCACGTCTGTTTCCCACTGGTTTCTGCCAGTGCTCTTCTGTGTCTTAGGGCTCTGTGTTTAGATGATGTAGGTGTCATTTTCCCATCTGCTCCCAGCTCACCCTTTTCTCATTAGTGTCCCTTATGCCTGGTAACATTTTTGTTTCAAAGTCAATTCAGCTGATACAGTGTAGCTGCCCCTCCTTTTCTGTTCCTGTCTGCTCACTTCTACATTTTGCCAGCAGTCTTGGTCCTCCTGCCCGAGGTGCTGGCTGCCTTTGGTCCTGACAGTGGGGATGAGTTCTGACCCCTTTGTGAAGGTGGAGTCTGCCGGGGCTCCCCTGTAGACACTCTGTTTTTTTGAGACAGGGTCTCGCTATGTAGCCCAGGCTGGCCTTGAACTCAGTGGTGATGTTCCTGCCTCAGCCTCCCGAGGGCTGGGATTACAGGCATGCACCACCACACCTGGCTTCCAGGTTCCCCTCTTTAATAATGGAGAGCTGTGTGTGGGAGGCCTTGAAACTATGCCAGTGCTTGCTGCTCGCTGGCTTTAGTCTTGCCTGAGTGAGTTATTGCTATGATCAGTGAGAACCCATGACTCTTCTTTCTACTTGTGTTGATTAGCATTCTTTTAAAAGATTGAGCTTCCTCTTTTCTCTTATGTCTGCCTGTGTTTATTTATTTATTTATTTATTTATTTAGTCTTTTTTTGAGACAGGGTCTCACTATGCAGTTCAGGCTGGCCTTCAGCTCACTTTATAGCCCAGCCTGGTCTTGAACTCACAATGATCCTCCTGCCTCAGCCTCCCAAGTGCTGGGATTACAGGCATGTGCTACCACGCCTGGCTGCCTGTGTTTATTTTTATTTTATTTTATTGTTTTGTTTTGGGATAGGCCCTGGCTATGTAGTTCAAACTGGCCTTGAACTTGCAACAGTCCTCCTGTCTGAGCACCACCATCCCAGCTTCATGGGTTCTTTTTTCTGTTACTCAGTGGGTCCTAATCTGTTTTTGCTGGTCATATAATGCTCAAACTGTTCCGGAGTCTTTCTTTCCTTTGGAAGCCTGTGTAGGCTGGTATCTCTTCTTTGCATCTCCCCTTGTTTATTTGAACAAGTCTTTATTTTTTGGTACAACCTATTCCAGGTTCATTTTGTATTTTCTCACTCCCAATCTTGTAATCAGTTATTTTTTCAGAGAGTCCTGGATCTTAGTGGTGAATGCTGTTTAGAAATCAAGATCTAAGCTGGGCATGGTGGCACTTGGGAGGCTAAGGCAAGAGGATTGCTGTGAGTTTGAGGCTAGCCTGGGCTACAGAGTGAAGTTCAAGGCCAGGCTGAACTGCATAGTGAAACCCTGTCTCCAAAAGAAAAAAGAAATCATGTATGCCCTGGGAGTTTTCCTCCTTTTTCCCTTCTGTTGCTACACACTACTTGTAGGTGAGAAATTTCAGTAGTTTTTGGTTACAATTGTCTTTTTTTTTTTTCTTTCTGGTACCAGGAATCGAACTCAAGACCTTGCGCTTGCCAGGCAGGCGCTGTGCTGCTGAGCTAAATCCACAGCCCTATAATTGTCTTTCAGTTACAAACATGTAGGTTGTCCTATCCTATAATCCTTTTGTGTCTTTTCGCAAAAATAAGCACAAGCATTAATTTGTTTATTTCACCTTTCTTATAAAACATAACATTCTATAAGCCAGGCATGGTGGTGCATGCCTGTAATCTCAGCACTCAGGAGGCTGACGTGAGGATTCCTGTGAGTTTGAAGCCAGCCTAGGCTACATAGTGAGTTCAAGGCCAGCCTGGATTCAAACCCTATGTCAAACAAACAAACAAATAACATTCTGTATACCCTTCTTTTGTTCTTTGCGCACTTCACTTAAATATATAATCTATCTCTCAGAGGCTGAGGCAGGAAGACTGCAAGTTGGAGCCCAGCCTGGGCAACTTAGTAAATGCGATTGTCTCAAAATAAAAAAAGGCTGAGAATGTAGCTCAATACAATGGCCCAGAGTTCAATTCTCAGTACTAAAACAAAAGTATAATCTAGCAGGTGCAGTGGCATGTTCCTATAATCCCAGCACTCAGGAGGCTGAGGCAGGAGGATCACTTGAGCCTAGGAGTTTGAGACCAGCATTGGCAAATGAGTGAGACTGGCTGCAGGGGACAAAAAGGAGGTGAGACTCTGTTTCAAAAAAGGAAGAACAAAATAATAATCTTAGGAACATGACTTGTAGTTCAGGGGTAGAACTTGCCAGCATGCATGAGTTTGATCCCCAGCACCTCAAGGATGAAAATTATACTGTCACTCCATTTCAGTTTCATCAGGGCTTTGTTTTTCTTTTTAATGTTATCCAGCACTTCATGTACTCATTCACATTTGTATATAGGTTTTTCCGTTGTTTCACAATAGCAAATAATGGCTCCTGAGTATGTGGCTTTGCACATGCTTGCATTTGGTTGGAGAGGTATCCTTTGGGGTACTGCCTTGAGAGCACTCAGGGTCACAGGTAAATGAGAGTCTGGTTTTACCTGATAGCACCAGAGTGGCCTCACCCACCCACAGTGCAGGCTGCCCAGCTTTGGGATTTCTGCCACTTCATAGATGACAGCAATTTAAATATTCGTGTCTGCAATTAAGAATGAAATTCTTTATTTTCCATATGTTGCTGTCTTTTTGCCTACTTTTCTCTTTGGTTCCTAATCTTTTTGCTTCTTGGTTTTAGAGCTCTTTCTGAATTGGGGATATTCTCCCCACCGCCCTCCCCCCCCCAAGGGCTGGGGATTGAACCCAGGGCCTTTGCACTGAGCTATATCCCTGGGCCTTTTTTTAAAATTTTGAGACAGGTATCAGGTTAATAATATCCCTTAGTTATTGTGGGCTGATCAGGTCCACAATCTCCCAAACACATGTATGGTGAAGACTAAATAAAAACAGGCAAATGGAATGATTTCAGGGCTCCAAGAGGATCAAAGCCCTCTCACAGGATTCTCTCAGGGATAAGACCAAGACCTTCTCTGTATTTATTTGCTTATCAGAAGAAGGGAGGGGAGTACTCAAGAAGGGTAGAGTTATTCAAAGACTTCTCCAAGTAGGGTATTAAATTAATCCTTAATAAGGATTAAGTTAATCCACCCAGGAGTGAGATGCCTGAGGCTGTAGTCTTTTATCTAGTTGAGATTGGATCCAGGTGTCCTTGGCTATGATCTTGTCTTGACCTTTGAGGCTTTCTGGCTTCATCCACCTTTACAGGCTTTAGTAGGAATTAATGACTCACAAAGGTTCACTTACTATGAGTCTGCTGTCCATTTCCAGACAAGGAGCCTAGGCCTTGGACAGATTCACAAGTGAACATGGAAAGCCAATTGGTTAATTTAAGTCCTGCTTGGGGCTGCTTCGTAGTGCTCTCCATCAGACAGGGTCTCACTAAATACTAAATTGCAGAGGCTGGGCTCAAACTTGTAATCATCGTGCCTTAGTCTTCTGTTTGCTGGGATTAAAGGTTTGTGTCACTCCATCCAACTTGTGCTGGAAATTTTTTGTTTGATGTTGAGTTTTCCCACTGTGGGGTTTGTATGTTTATGTCTATAAGAGGTTTTTTTTTTGGTAAGAAAGTCTAATATATTAACTTTGGGAGATTTGTTTTTGAGTGGATCTCACTGTGCTGCCCAGATTGAACTAAATCCTAGGTTTAAATGATCTTCCTGCCTCAACCTCCTGAGGAGATGGGATCTCAATTTTTTTCCTTCCTGGTGCTAGAGATCAAGTCCATGACCTTTTCACATGCCAGGCAAGTGCTCTATTCTAAGCCACACTTTCAGCCCTGTGACACTGACTGCTGATTTCTCTTTGCCCCACCTAATTCCTCAGTCTCAGCTGCAGTTAACCGTCCTGGCCCTCTGTTTGGTGTCATTGTCCCTTCCCCAGAAGCCTTTGTCTCTGGAGATTCTCTGAGAAGGCTCCCGAGTGTGGGGCTCCCTGCAGCCATGAGTGCTCAGCTCCTTTCCCTGTATCCTGGATGCTTGGAGGTCTGCGCAGTCCAGCCTGGTTCCAGGGCTGCATCTCCTGCATGCCTGGGGCCTTTCTTAGTGCCCAGGCTGGATTCCGTTCTTATAGCTACATCAGAGGTCTTGGTTGACAGTGCTTGGTGTTCAGGTAGGCTCCTTGGCTCACCTGCTGCTGGTACTGAAGGACCACCTTGACTTGCTTTGGCTCTCCTGGCAAGTGCTAGACCTGCTTAGGTTCAGCCAGTTGCTTTCTCTCTCCGGCCGGAATGCCTCTTCTGCACCCTTGCAGCTGTGCACCATGGGAACTGTTGGTCTATTTCTGGCCCTGCCTCCACTCTCCAAGCTGCCTTAGGAGCTCTCCAGAAAGATGCTGTTATGGGATCACACTGGGGAGAGAACCTGCATGCTCTGGACCCACTAGCCAAGTCACTGGCACTGTGCTTGCAGGTCCTCCTGAGCTGTACCATGCATGTACTGCGTTTCTCACCAGTCTCTCCATTCCCACCTGGCCACTCCTTTGTGTTTTGCTTATGAGCATGGACTGAGGTCTAGCTCCCTGAGCCCATGTTTTGCAGCCCTGGCTGATCCGAAGGCCCCTGGGTAATGCTGTGTCCTGTTCTCTCTTGCTCCAGAGAAGCAGGAAGTGACAGTCTTGGAATCCCACAAGCTGCCCACCTCACTGGTGTACGGGGCTGACTGGTCCTGGCTCCTTTTCTGTCCCCTGCAGCCAGTGCCTTCTGAATCCCTCGACAGTGACGTGGGAAATCAGGTCTATGGGCTGAAAGTTTCAGGTGAGCCACTGGCACCTTCCTCCGAGCACACAGAGGGCTAGGATGGCAAGGGTGGTGCCAGAGATGACAGCTGGGTGAAGCTGTGTTCTTTTCTCCTGCTGCTCACAGAGGACATGAGGAACAGCAGCAGCCAACCACACATCCCAGCGAAGTTCTGTGATTCTGACCTCTGCCTCAAAGGGGTGAACTCTGATATCAGGCTTCTGGCTACCTGCTCTTTTTATGACCACACTCTCAACCTCTGGAAATGGGAGGCCCGCTGAGCCTGAGACCTGCTCAGAGAGCCTGAGAGCTCACAGAGACCTGCACCAGGAGCGACAATCTTTGAGCTGGGCCACTGGGAATGGACTGAGTGATTCTTTTTGGCATTGAATGGGATTTTCCAGCTCCAAAACTGAAGTTTCCTGGGTACATTTTGACTTTCAGCCCTTCATAATGTATTTAAGCAACTATTTGTATTAATTAAATGAAGCTGTTTTGGAAAAAAATGTTACTTTATAACATCATAAGTAATTTTGTAACTGAATGAATTTTCTGTTGGTGTGGTAGATCAAGCCCAGGGCCTTGTACATGAGATACACCCCCAACCTTGAAGTATCTTTCAAAGCATATGAAAAGACCACCTCCTGCTGTGAGTAGAACACAAGAAAGAGGTCCATGTGTACTTCCTGAGCCACCTCAAGTCATACTTGTGGAGCAGGTGGAGGTAGTGTGGGCACTAACTGTATTAACAAACTGATGGGCTTTCAAGTCCTGGACCCACAGCAACTGGGAATACAGGTCAGGTGTGTGACCCATCCAGCTCCCACTTTGAATGCTATCTCTAGGAGAATGGGGACCAGACTGACAGCCCGAGCTGTCGGGTCCTCAGCTCTTCACAGGAGACACTAGCACTGGAAGAGCAGACAGGCAGTTAGTTCTACCCGTGTCTTATTTTCTGATGACTGGACATGCCAGTGTGGGCCACACTGATTACAATTTTGTTATAATGAGCAATTCCCAGCTAATGGCACTAGGAGTTACTTCTGGAACTAGGAATTGAACCCTCAGCCTTCCTCCAGCTAGACTTGTACCAGTGAGCTATACCCCAGCCTGATTTACAGTTTTTTGATAGACGGTTTCACTAAGTTGCCCAGGCTGGCCTAGAACTCACTATCTTCCTGCCTCAGCCTCCTGGACTGGGGGGGTTACAGGTGTGTGCTACCAGGCCCAGCTGGCCCATTTATTTTAAATAAAAACCTATTGGGCCCTCTTCTAGAGTATGTGTTTTGTTTTTGAGACAGGGTCTCACTATACAGTTGAAGCTGGCCTTGAACTCACTTTGTAGCCCAGGCTGGCCTCGAAGTCACAGCAATCTTCCTGCCTTAGTCTCCCAATTGCTAGAATTACAGATGTGCACCACCACACCCAGTCTAGAGTTTGTGTGGACATTTCATGTAAGGGTCAGCTAAGTATTCTTGGAATGCAGGTCTGAGACATTGTGACTGAAGAGGGAAATGACACACTGATCATCAAGAACCAACCTGGAGGCGGGGTGTGGTGGTGCACCCCTGTAATCCCAGCACTCGGGAGGCTGAAGCAGGAGGATCTTTGGGAGTTGGAGACCAGCCTGGGCTACAAAATGAGCTCAAGAGGGCCTGGAGATTTAGCTCAGCAACACAGTGCCTGCCCAGCAAGCAAAGGTTGTGAGTTCGATCCCCAGTACCGGAAAAAAAAACCGAAACAACAACAACAACAACAAAAAAAACAAAATGAGCTCAAGGCCAGCCTGAACTGCATAGAGAGACCCTGTCTCCAAAAAAAAAAAAAAAAATCCAACTTGGAGCTGAGCATGGTGGCACATGCCTATAATCTTAGCACTTGGGAGGTTGAGGCAGGAGAATAGAGGATTGTTGCAAGTTCGAGTCCAGCCTGAACTGCATAGCAAGTCTCAAAAAAGACCAGTTTGGGACCAGCTTCTTATGCAGCCTGGTCTTTAGGTTTTTTCCAAGGGGGCAGTTACTTTTCACCCAGTTAAAATACCGACTGTCTTGGAGTCTATAAAGAATACATTAATTGTTGTTTTGGGGGATGAATTAGCCAGTGTTGCGTAGGGTGGCCTGCCTAGTAAATTCTCACAGTGTAAGCCTGTCGTGGGCAGGCCTGCAGACCTGTTGCCACAGTTGTGTGAAACCTCTGTACGAACTGCGCGGCATCTGTCACGTGGCACACTGTCAACCACCTGATGCCAAACACTAGACAGCAGTAAAGGCTTTTAATAGAAATGCCACGCGGGGAAGCTCCCACCTCTCTGGGACTCACAGTCTGACACTCGGTCAGTGCAGTCTCCGGTTCACAGGCAAACGGCGGTCATCACTGGATTCTAGCGTGGAAAGTTCTTGGGATACAGCTGGAAGAGCTTGCCCTCCTGGGTAGGTTCGAAGCCGTACTTTTCCAGGTTGTCAGGGTCGAAAGTGCCTTCCTTAAAGTCCTTTTCGATAGCGGGCGCAACTGTTTCCATGAACAGTGCCCTGGCTGTCAGCGGCACGTCTGCGCCCGCGGGGGCGCGGTAATTCACGTAGGGCTTGAGTTTGAAGCCGGTCAGGTTTGGGACGATAAATTCTGGGACCTGTTCCTTTACCTGCACAAACTTCCAGCCCGGGGCGAGGAAGCCCGTGCCCTTGGCGCCCCGGCCCTTGTTGAAGGTGCGGGGCCCCCGCTTGCTTGTCCACTTGCTCATCCTGTCCGCTCCTCGCACTAGGCCTTGGGTTACTGCGGTCAGGAAGCCCATGCTGTGCCTGTGGGAGGAGACTGCTCAGAAAGACCCACATCCAGGACGGACGCGAGGAACAGTGCACTCCGCGCAGATCCCAGACCCCTAGGACAGAGAGAAGGCTGCACCCCGGCCCAGAACGCGGAAGACCGAGGACGACCCTGGATCCCGAAGGCGAAGGGGACGCGGTGCCAGATGCAAACGAAAGTACTGACCTGGGCCAGCGGCTCTCACAGCCCGCACCTGAACCCGCGTAAGCTCCGACGCGCCTCAGCTCTGTCTCCCGTCTGAGACCTCGCGGCGCTCCCGGCTGGCGCGGCCACCGAGCAACAACGGGAACTGAGATTGGTCCCCGCCGCGCTCGTGCGCACCCGCGAGGGGCGGGGCCGCGGAGACCCGGCCAATGTGTGGCGAGGTGGGCGGGGCGCCGGGAGCGCCTACGTTCACGACGTCAGGGGGAGGCGGGCGTGGAGAGCGCGCGGCCGGCCGGTGAGTCGCCGCCCTGCGCTGGGAGGCGGCCGTCTCCGGTCCCGCCCCGCGAGGAGGCGTCGCCCTCCTCTTCCCCCGTCATCGCTCCGCCTCGCCCAGCCGCCGTGACCAGGCTGCTGGACTGGGCCGAGGACGTCAAATGCCACAGGGACTGTTCTGCAGTGTCCCCTGATGGCCACACAGTGTCCCCTGTCGGTCCGTGGAGTCCCCCTCATCCCTGCGGTGTCCCCTCACCCCCCATGTCCTCCTCATCCCCCCGTCTACCCCTCACCCCCTCGAAGTTCCCTCACCCCCTCCACCTCCCCCACCCCCCGCGGCGTCCCCTCACCCCGCGTCGTCCCGTGTCCCCTGTCGGTCCGTGGAGTCCCCCTCATCCCTGCGGTGTCCCCTCACCCCCCATGTCCTCCTCATCCCCCCGTCTACCCCTCACCCCCTCGAAGTTCCCTCACCCCCTCCCCCTCCCCCACCCCCCGCGGCGTCCCCTCACCCCGCGTCGTCCCCTGCACCCTCTCGACGTCCCCCTCCCCCCTGCAGTGTCTCCCTCACCCCCCAAGTCCTCCTCATCCCCATCTGCCCCTCACCCTGCATCGTCCCCTGCACCCCCTCGACGTCCCCCTCCCCCTGGGACGGCTCCCTCACCCCCTCCACCTCCCCCACGCCCCGCTGTGTCTCCTCCGCGTCGTCCCCTGCACCCCCTCAACGTCCCCCTCCCCCCTGCCCCCCTGCGGTGCCCCCTCACCCCCTGCGGTGTCCCCTCACATTCAGCAGTGTCCCTCTTGTCCCCCTGCGCCCTGAGGTGCCCTTCCACGGCCTTCGGTATCTCCCTACCACCGCCCTCTGAGTCCCTCCACGTCCAGCCCGGTCCCCCTCCCCTCTTGGGGGTGACCCCGGTCTCCTGTGCCCGGCGCACCCCTTGGTGTGTCTTCCCCCGCCACTCCCTCGTCATCCTTGGTGCTGCCCTCGCGGCTCTCGGCCTCCTGACCAGGCCTTGTGAAGACCCATGTCCTGAGCCCCGTCACGCCCTGAGCCGGTAGCTGGGCCCTCCGGGGACCCTGTCCAGTCCACGCCCCTTCTCCGCCTGGCCGTGGCCCTTTTGCTTTGCCCCTCCTGAGCCTCACACCCTCTGCCCCATCTGGAACCGGCCCAGCTGCGTGTCCCAACCCGGCCCGGCCCTGGCGCTGGGCGTAGCTCCAACCCTGACTGCTGGGGGAGAGGCCGTTGCCGCTGCCTCGGCTCCCAGCCACGTGAGCGCTGTTTACGGGAGGCGCAAGGGGAGGGGTGCTTCTCCCAGAGGCCGCTCTTCTCCAGGAGAGCTTCCTGGGCGCGCTGCCCCGGGAACCTAGTGTGACTTGGACAGGCACAGGAAAGCTGGGCAAGTAGGCAGTGGCCTCTGTGTCCTCCCACTCTGGACTGTGCTCTTTTTTCAGCCATGCAGGAAGAGGAAGGCGTCTGCCCTGAGGTAGGTGCACAGACCGGAGAGAAGCTGAGAGAAGCCCCTTAGAACTCCTGCTGGCTGGAGGGCAGTTCCTCCACCTTCCTCCTCACCCCAGACTCCTGGAGCAGGAAGAACGTGGGCTGGTGTGGGGCCTGGCACCTCCTCAGGGGACTGACACTTGCTGACAGCTGTGCTTAGGCAGCATGGACACAGATGCTGGACATTGTTTCTAGTGTCTTTTCTTACCCTAAAGTCACAGTTGTTTCCCACATCTCTTTGGGATTTCATTCTCTTTGCTCAGGGTCTTTTTCTCAGTACAACTCTGTAGCCATATCCCAAAGGGCTTTGTCTCTAAACCGGGCAAACAGACCCGTTAAAGCAGCAGTGAAAAGCTAGACAAGCTGACGCTCACCATCGCAGGCTGTGGGAGTAGTCTGGCCTTTCCTTGGATAAGTGGACCCCCAAGTGCTCAGAGGCACCAGGGGAAGTAGGGCTGTGGCCTGGCCCTCTTGAAAGCCTGACTGCTGTTTGAGAGTCAAACTGGGGTAGAGGACTAGGACGCTGGGTGCTTCAATTCTGAAGCGAAAGCCCCGCTTCGATAAAGTCAGTCCCATCGCATTGGGGGACAGTGTGCATAGCAGTAGTCCCTGCTGAGATCCTTGCAGGCCTCCTTTGTGGACATGTGCCCTGGGACAGAGGTTCACACAGGGTGAAATCACCTGATGATGCAATTCTCAGAATGTCCTGTTCTTAAGGGATGCATGACTTTGTCTCTGAAACCAAGTGCCTACACTGGGTTTTCTGGACACTCGTTCATTCTTCCCTGATGCCAAACAGTGCCTTGGGGTTGCCTTCCTGAGTGCCCTTCTCCAGGGTTCCAAGGTGGATCGCCATGTCTGAGACTTGGCTCTCTGAATGCTGGGCTTTGGTCCTTGGTACCTGTGTAGAAACTGGACAGGATTAGCCAGTGGCTCCCCTGCCCCATCAGTGCCTGGCTGCTGGGAGGAGCGATGGATGCACGAGGAACAGAGCCCCTGCATGCCTGGCTGCTTTCTGTCTCTCTTCAACTTCCAGCCTACACAAACTGGCAGCTTCCTGTCAGCACCGCACTTAGCCTTCCTGCTAGTGCCATTCCTGCCTGCCTTCTCTCCTGTCCTCTTGTGGGTCTGGGCTTCTGAAGCCCTGTCAGCACCCTCCTGGAAGGAGCAGGGTAGAGGCACAGAGCCTTCTCTTCTGTTTCTTCTTGGCATGGGGACATTCTAGATGGTTCCTTGGGGTTTCCCCCTTCCCTCCCCTCCTCTCTCCTTTCCTACCTTCCCCTCCCCTCCTTCCTTGAGATGGGATCTTGCTGTATTGCCCAGCCCGGCCTTGAACTACTTGGACTCAAGTGATGCTCCTGCCTCAGCTTTCCAAGTAGCTGGGACTAAACTGAATGCAGGGCTCAGCAACCTCATGGCCTCCTGCAGGTTTTCTGAGCACCGCTGCTGTGGAGACACCTGTGGGCCCTGGGGCTGGCAGCCCAGATCCTATGGGTGTCCAGATCTTGGCCTCTCTTATGCCTAGGACTTGCCCCCTGGTTTGCACCTTGTGGATGGCGGAGACCAGGGCTCAGGCACATTGATGGTGCACAGGGCATATGTTGTGGCAGCCCACCTTATGCCTGAGGAAGACAGGTGTCCCTGCAGGTCATGCAGTGCACCTTGGCATCCTGGCCTGGTTGCTTTGCTCTGGGCTCTAGGCTGCTGACCTCCTGTCTGGCTGTCTACTCTCCTCCCGCTTCCCAGGTCTGGGAAGCCCAGCTGCCCTTCTGCCCACCTGACTGTGCTCTCCCTCCAGGCTGGCCTCTGTCTGGGCCCCACCCTGCACTCCTGGGGGCTGTCATTTTTGGAGGAGTCACAGCCCACCATGGTAACCACTGAGTTTTCCTGGGGGACCCTGTGGGCCATGGCCATGGCTGGTCTTGCCAACAAGCTTTTTGACTTCTTCTGCCCAGCTGACAGGGATTATGATTGGAGCCCTCCTGGCCCTTGCCTTTGTGGGTGTTGCTATCTTGTTTGTGTACAGAAGTGTTCATGGATTTCGTGAGTATCTTGGTTCAAACCCTTCTGGCCCTGGGGGAGGACAGTGTGTGTGTGTGTGTGTGTGTGTGTGTGTGTGTGTGTGTGTATGGCACTGTTGGTTTTGAGCTCCTGGGAGACCCTTCTGGACCTTGGCTGTGTTGCATCTAAGAACAGCTGCAACTTCTGGTCTCATCAGAGACATTTCTGAGACAAACCTCTGTGCTGTCTGAGCGCAGGGCAAGGAACAGATCAGCGGCATAGCTGCTGCCCAGCACTAGCTGTCCAGGGCCGAACTAGCGCTATGCTAGTGCTATTACATTAGCTCATGGCGCTATTACATTAGCTCATGGCCCCTCTCACCTCATGGTGCCCCTTCCTATCCTCGCAGGACAGGTGCAGCCCACACCTCAGTACAGGTTCCGGAAGAGGGACAAAGTGATGTTTTATGGCCGGAAGATCATGAGGAAGGTAACCCTGGGGCAGGAACCCTGGATCTTTTGCTAGGCCCCAAGCCCCTGGGGCGCCAAAGCTCCAGTGTATGCCACCTGTACAGCTTTGTGGCCCCTGCCAATGGGTGCCAGGGTGGGGGGTGTCACGGGTCATGCTGTATGTTGTTTTCTTCCACCAGCCGAACTGAACTCAGCCCTCGGGTTGAGCCCATCTGGCCTGGATGCAGCAGGGGCTTCAGTGGGGAAGGGGTCTGAGAAGTGTGAGGTCAGAGGCCCCGTTAGCCCCACACAACACAGATCTCTACAGGAAAGAAGAGTGGATAGCTGCTTTCTGGTGGCATCCCTGAGACTGAGGAGCTGTGCTGAGGAAGGGCCAGCTCTCTGGGCGTGGGGGCCTGATTTCCCTGAGGACCCATGTGTGTGTCCTGAGGTGAAAGCTGTGTGGCTCGCTTACCATGTCTCAGGACCTCCTGGACACAGACCCCTGTGCTCTGTGTTGGGTCAATAATTGGTAGTTAGTTAGTGTAGTGGTGCACATCTATCATCCTAGCACCCTGGGAGGCTAAGTAAAGAGGACCACAGGTTTTAGTCCAGCCTAGGTGACTTAGTGGGATCCTGTCTCAGAATAGTAAGTAAAAGAGGCCTGAGGATATATCTTAGTGCAAAAGTCTTGAGTTCAATTCCTAGTTCCAGGAAAAAGGGGAACAAATTGGTGGTTAAGGAACCCTGATCTGGGGATGGATATACAGGCTGAGTTGGGTCCTTGTAGCCCCTTGATTAGCTGCTGAGCAGGCCCCTCAGCCTCCTCCCACCTTCCTCAGAAGGTCACATAAACCAGCAGGCGTACAGCAATGGAGCTGTGGAGGTTTGGCTGCTTAGGACAGCAGGGACTCTCTTAGGACAGCATGGATATGTGGGGCTGTTGGGGTGCTCTTGTCCACAGTGAGGTCCCCTGTGTCTTTGGCCAGGAGTGGGGCAGGGTACAGCTGGCCCCTGGAAGCTGGTGTTAGGACTGTGGATAGCCTCTCCAAGGCCCTAAGGGCTGACCCCTGGGTCTGAGAGTGCAGACTTTGCTAGTCACAGACCCAGTGACCCACATCTCCCTTGACTGCAGATGAGCACACTCCCCAATACGCTTGTGGGGAACACAGCTGCACCCCGGCAGCGGGCCAGGAAGAGGACCAAAGTGCTGTCTTTGGCCAAGAGGTACTGGGAGTTCTCTCCAGGGTAGGCACAAAGGTCCTTAACCACTGCTGTGACTCCTACCTTGGGTGCACTAAAGATGGAGTGCCCTTGGGTTCAAGAGCACTTGGGACGTGGGTGTGTGCATATGTGAGTGCGTGTGTCTGTTTCAGGCCCAGGGATCAAGCCCAGTGTCCCATGCATACTAGGCAAGCACTGACCACTAAGCTACTTCCCAAGCCTGTAGCACTGGTTTTGAACCCCTTGGTTCTTGCTCAAGGTGAGTATGTCTCTGCCTCATAGGATTTTGCGGTTCAAGAAGGAATACCCCACCCTGCAGCCCAAAGAACCGCCACCCTCCCTGCTGGAGGCTGATCTCACGGAGTTTGATGTGAAGAATTCTCACCTACCATCAGAGGTTTTGTACATGCTGAAAAATGTTCGGTAAGAGCACATGGGTAGGACAGGTTCTGCAGCCACTGTCAGCCATTGGTGGCATCTCTCCAGAATGTGGCTTTCCTGTGTCGGCAGCAACTCTTGCTGGGTCGTTGGTCTCTGTCCCATGGAGTCGGTCATGAAGCATCAGGGCCAGCAGAGCCTTGTGTCCACCAGCTCCTCACTAGGTCTTTCTCAGTGTCTTCAGCTTCAGTGTGAGCTCAGAGTGAGTGTGAGAAGGGCAGGTTCAGAAGCTGCTGCAAGTCTGAGTCTTCTTCCCTCTCTCCCATCTGAGGAGGGCATGTGGCCTTCCATGGCTGTCTTCATGTCTGGCTTCCACTGCTCAAGAACTTCTTTAAGCTGATGGGAATCTGAGAAGCTGAAAATTCTGTTTGACAGTGATGCCACATGGTCTGGGTAAACCTGTAGATCTGCAGCTCTGGCCTCAGTGCTGGTGGAGACAGTGGCTTTTGTCCCTCGATCCTCTTTGAAAGGCTGTCCCTCAGCCTACCTTCCCTGGGAGGGCGTCCCACAGTGAGTTCTGCTTGTTCCAGGGTCCTGGGCCACTTTGAGAAGCCACTGTTCCTGGAGCTTTGCAAACACATGGTCTTTGTGCAGCTGCACGAAGGGGAGCGCGTCTTCCGGCCAGGGGAGCCAGATACCAGCATCTATGTAGTGCAGGATGGGCGGCTGGAGGTCTGCATCCAGGACTCGGTGAGTTGGGGGTCAGGGCTCCTGTCCTTTTGCTTAACTCTCCACTGTGGGTCTATAAAAAAGTTATGCAGCCTGGCATGGTGATTCAGGAGGCTGAGGCAGGAGGATCAGCATGAGTTCCAGGCCAGCCTGGGCTCCATGGTGAGTTCAAGGCCAGCCTGAACTGCATAGTGAAACCCTGCCTCAACAAACAAATAAATGAAAGATTATACAAAGTTTTAAGCTTTGCTTCTTTGAAGAAAAGGTGCCCCTCTCCCCCAGCACTCAGCACTAGTACAATTTTGACCTTGACGTGTTATCTTTTGCTTTCACGCATGTGTGTCTATTGTTTAGGTTGGTTGTGTAGCAGTGCTTATGTGGTTTTATTGCCTTACTTCACCTGATGTATTAGACATTTTATTTATTTATTTAGGTTTTTGAGACAGGGTCTTGCGATACAGTTCAGGCTGGCCTCAAACTCATGTCGATCCTCCTCCCTTAGTCTCCCAAGTACTGGGATTACAGGTGTGCACCATCACATCCCACTTATTAGATGTTTAAAAATATATATTTCTAGTCCTCAGACTGGCTTGGTAGTGAATTATTTTATTGATTTACTGCGATCAGTTGCCTCACTTTCAGGTTTCTGATACAAATAATTTTAGTTGTAAGAAAATAAAGTGTAAAATGACTGAGGAGCTAAATCCTTGTTTCTTGCCTGCCTTAAGTGACACCCTTGGAGCTACAGGGTCAGGCCCTGCCAGACTGTGTGCCGCTCTCCGAGTGTGCTGGGTCTATGGCCGTCCTGGGCTGTGTGACCAGGCTTCCACCCAGGCATGATTGTGCAGAGCAAATGCTTAGCGAGCCCTGACCTTGCAAAACTCAAGCCTTGGAAGTTCTCACTCTTGTCTTGGGAGCTGGCAGGTCCCGAGACATTTCCTGCACTGTCTTTCCAGGTTTCCAGACCAAGTGTTGTCTAGGTAGAGTGGCTGATTCTCATGTTTGCAGCTCAGTCTGTTCTGATGTTCAGTTTGTGGCATGAGTTCATGAAATTATTGCAAAGGAAAGATCCAGCTAGGCATGGTGATACACAACTGTAATCCTAGCACTCTAGGAGGCTGAGACAGGAGGGTCAAAAATTTGAGCCCAGCTTGGGTAATTTAGTGAGACTCTGTCTCAAAATTAGAAAAGAAAAAGAGGGGCAAGGGTGTAGCTCAGCATGAAGGTCCTGGGTTTAATCCCCAGTATTGAAAAAAAAAAAGAAGGAAAGATCCTCAGTGTATCTGGTGCTGAGAGTCAGAAGTAGCAGCTCCTAGGGTGTGTGTCTGTCCCACGATAACCAGGACCCCTGGTCTGGCTTGTGAGAGGCCCAAAGAGACAGGAGCCACCTCCAGTCTGGCTTTGGATTTGGGTGAGAGGGGCTCATAAGAATGACTAGGACCAGACTGGGACAACTTCAAAAAGGATCTTCTGGGATTAAATTGAGATGAAGTTCCCTAAATTAAATAACCAAACTGCACGGTTTTTTCTCTTGTTTTGCCCTGTGGAAAATTGTGTGAAATTCACTAATTTTTACTGATAGTAACTAAATTTGGTCCTTAGAGCCTTTATTGTTTATTTAGTAAACCAAGTGAGGTTTTGTGAAATTTCATGTAAACCTACCTAGTGAGGATGAGTGAGTCATGGGATTGAGGGGCTGTGGCTAGATTGGATAGGGTTTCTTCATTGGTCTACCTTTTGTTTGTTTGTTTGTTTTTTTAGTACTGGGAATTGAATCCAGGGCCTTCACCCTGGATTATATCCCTAGCCCTTTCAAACTGTTTTTGTTTTGAGATAAGATCCCGCTGTGCAGTTCAATGTGGCCTTGAACTCACTAGGTACCCCAGCTGGCCTCAAACTCACAGCAACCTTCTTTCCTCAGCCTCCCAAGTACTGGGATTATAGGTATGTGCCACTATGCCCAGCTTTAACTTTTTTGAGACAGGGTCTTTTAAATTACTAAACTGCCCAGGCTGGACTCAAATTTGTGATTGCCATCTTCCTGCCTCCGCCTGCTGGATTGTTGCGCTTGTAGGAGTGCAGCACCAAGCCTGGCTACCTGATTTTTCCATGTCCTCTTCAGTGTGTTGTACCTCTAACACCACTAATTGCAGCAGGCCTCTGCCCCTAGTCTGAGGCGCCCACCTTACTGATGGTGACTTGAGGTAGGACTGTGTGCACAGGGAGCTTGCCGGTATCTGGTAGACGGCCCCTGACAGCTGTTACTCTGCTCTCCTTGCACAGGATGGTACTGAGGTGGTGGTCAAGGAAGTTCTGGCAGGAGACAGTGTCCATAGCCTCCTCAGCATTCTGGACGTCATCACGGTGAGCATCCCTGCCTCAGTCCTGGAAGACTGCCCCAGACACTCCTCATCAGAAGCCAGTGCATGGTGATCCCAAGTGGGGGCAATCCAGGCTGGGAGGCCTCATTCCAGCCTCCTTGGTAAGGGCATCTGAGGGATGGTGTTGGAGGCAGCCAACTGAGATCAGGATTTGGGTGCCTTGTCAGTGGTCGTGCTTTGGACTGACACACACATAGCACAACACCGCAAAGGCCTGAAAGCTGCAGAAAGTGTCTCCTATTCTTTTTCCTGGGGGGACCTTCTACCACTGCTTGTGCACGGGCACGTGGAGCTCCTGTGCCATTGTGTCTCCACTGATCCCAGCCTTGCGCAGTAAACAGCAGCACTTGTCCCCTGTGTATGTCCAATCATAAATGTGAAGCCCTTAAGGAGCTTGCAGGGCCCTGAGTGTGCACTGGGATATGGAAGGAGGTCACCTCCTGATGCCGTGGAGGGCGTGCCACCTCCCACCTCCCCAGCATTATGTAGTCCAGCGGTTGACCTTAGCTATAAGCTAGATTAAGAAAGGAGCACCTTATGAGTTCTTCTGATTTGTTACTTTTTATTGTGGAGAATCACTACCCTGGAAAAGTGCATGCACAGTCACACTAGTCTGTATCACCAGCTGCTCCGGGGCTTACTTGGCCCCATTTCTTCATTGGCAGCAGGAGGTTAGCATCTCTTTAACTTTTTCTTTTAAGTAAAACCTACACACAGTGAAACAAACCAGTTACTTGTTTTTTTTTTTTTATTTTAAAGAGTGAAAGAAGGATAACATAGTAATAGGGGGGGCTTACCAAATTACAGACAAAGTGGTAGGAAATTATCAATGGTTGGTGTTTTACATATTGTTATCTACAAGATAGTTTCTCAGGAAAACAAATAGACAAATAATAGTGAGTTACAGACAAAAGTGGTAGGTTATTATCAATGGTTGTTGTACTATACTTTGGTATCTTCAAAGTGGCTTCTAAAGAAAATAAGTAGAGCTATACATGAGTGACCACTTGAATAATCATTAGCTATTCTCAATGGTTGTTGTAGGAAACACATAATAATAACATACATCCATTTATGAAATAGCATAGGAACAATACAAATGTTACAGAGTTATGGACAGATTAGTAGGAAAATATCAATGGCTGCTGTAATACATGGTGGTATCTTCAAAGTGGTTTCTCAGGAAGACAGAGATACACAAGAAGGATCTAACAAGTAATTACAGGCTAAGGGTTGTGAAAAATGGCGTATTACCTCCTCCCCAGTGACTCCTTTCACTGAGGTGTGACAGCTGGAAGGAAGGCCAGGATTGAAAAGAAGGACCAAGAGACTTGCACCTGTGTCTAGCAACAGGCTGTTTTCTTTTTCCTCCATAGTTCTGATTACCTGGGGCTCCTCCATGGAGATGACAGTCTGGCCAGAGGGAGAAGGCAGAGTATGCCCCAGGCCCCCTCATTCCTGTTGGACTAACTGGTAGGATGGGTCTGAGCTCTGGGGCCTCTGCTTCAGAGGGCAGACCTATCTCCACTGGTCTCATTTGCATTCAGGGCATGGCCCAGGGGGCTTCTTAGGGCAGTTCCCCCTGAGGTGGCCTGGCTTTTAATAGTGGTAGCAGATGAATGTAGTCGTTGAGTTCTTGGGGCCCCGAGAGTCAGACTTAGGGTCTGTTTTTCTTAGTGCTGCAGCACTGAGCTTCATCTGCAGCCCCTTTTAATTTCTTTTCTTTTTCAATTTTGAGAAAAGGTCTTGCTAAGTTGCCCAGGTTGGGCTTAAAGTTGTGATCAATCATCCTGCCTCAGCTTTCCGTAGTGCTAAGATTAGAGCCATCATGCCCAGCTTCATCTGATTCTTTGCATTTGTTTGTTTGTTTTTAGCCAGTAGCATAATAATTTACCATCATGTTAAAGCAGTGTATACTGTCTGTAATTATACTGCTCTGCTTTTATAAAACTGGCAGGATAGGTGTTACATTTGTTGCTAGTGGTGTATGGTTGTGACTTTTACCTCAGCTTCTCCAGTCCATGTTTGATGTTTCCCAAGCAGTGAGCAGAACCTTGGCAGGGATGCAACACACTGAATGTGATGCTTTGTGTGGAGTACTGTGGGAGTTTGGGGGGCCTCTGATCCAGCCCCCATTATGCACACGTCAGACCATGCAGACATCATGCCCACGCTGTGCCCTGTCAGTTGGGCACAGGCTTGCTTTGTGCTGTTTTGAGTCTGGAGGAGTAGATGGGACTCCTGCCTTGTGCTGTGTCGCCTAGGACCTGTGTATCTTTGTAGATGCTTGGCTGAGCTGGGGAGGCCTCCTACCTGGGCAGGAGGGGACACCTGTCTCCTCCTGGCAGGTTCTTTCAAGGCCAGTGCTCAGCTTCCAGTGAACCCCCAGCAGGAGCTGGTAGGGATCAGGCCAGGGCCTAGTGCGGACTTGAGTTTTCTCTGTGCTGCTCTACTGGGCTGTGGTTTCTGCATCTCTGGGACTCCAGCTTGTTTTGTGGGACTCCTGAATGTGTAAGGGACACTGGTGGGCCTGGGAAGAGCCAAGAAAGGCCTAGAAGAGCTTTGGCCTATGTGGAGGTAGACTAATTAGCTGTTTGCCATCTGCAGTCATAACCTCTACCCCTTGATGGATTATTTTTCTTAAAAAATAGTTCAGTGAAGGCTAGGATGGAGGCTTTTCTCAGTTATTTCTTATTCTTTCTGATCCAGATCTCGTTGTGGATTTTAGGGTGAACTTCAGTTATTCTGGCACCAGGGTGTGTGTAGTCAGGAAGCAAGGTCGTGGGCAATGGCTTGGCCAAAGTCATGCCTGCCTCCTCCACCTGCTGTGATCTGTCTCATTTGTGCCACCGTCAGCACAGCTCATCTTCCCTAAGGACAAGAACTTATCTTCCTTGAGTGTAGTGGTAACAGAAAGTGGTAGGATGATAGCTGAGAGAAGACAGTTTACTGTATATTGTGATGTTTGTCATTTAGAATGACATCATTTTTTGTTTGTTTGTTTGTTTTTGTTTTTGTTTTTCTCCGGTACCGGGAGAATGACATCATTTTTGTCTCATCAAACATTTGTGATTTGTGTTTGTTTTTTTTTCCCCATCTTCAGTACTGGGGATTAAATCCAGGGTTTTACACATGCTAGATAGGTGTTCTATATCTCAGGCTTTTAAAAATTTTTATTTTATGAGACAGGGCCTTGCTAAATTGTCAAGGCTGGTCTTCAATTTGTGATGCTCCCTCTTCAGCCTCCCTAGTTACAGGGATTGCCACCACGCCTGGCCTGTGTTTGTCATTTTTTTTAAATGCTCATAATTTTAATGGTTGATAGCTTCTAGTTGGCTCTGAATCATCATTTTTTAAAAATTTAAATTCTTACAAAATGGCATGTACACATTTTAAAAACTTACTTGACTTTTTCAATAAGTGTCAGTTGTCTGTCCCACCTCCAGTCTTTCTGATTCTTGGATTCCTTCCAAGCTCTTCCTTCATAATTCCATCTTAGGTCCATTGACTTCCTGTCTGGAAAATGAAGATGACTCTCTTGATTGCCCAGTGTGCCTCCCTTCCTCCATCCGGCCTTGCATTCATGGTGGATTACTAAGACTTTTTGCCTCTTATTTACAGCTGATCCATGTGGTTCCTATGGGTAAACTTTCTTTCTAGTCAACTTTTCATTTCTCTAGAGTTAACAGCTGCCTCATGTTTTGGCAGATTGGGTGTTTTTCTGTGCATCCATCACAGCCATGTGGCCTGACCTGTTACCTGATTCTCATGAGTGGTAGTCTTCTCTGGGAAAACTTCCATCTTGTGCTTCTTCATCTTGTCCCAGCCTCTGCAGAGCCCTTGTCTCCTCCTTCTTGGTCTTTCTTTCTTCCTTTCTTTCTTTCTTTGGTACTGGGGATTGAACCCAGGGCATTTGCCCTGAGCTATATTCCCAGCCTCCCCTTTGTTTACATATATGTATGTATTTTTTTTTTTTTTTTGTACCGGGAATTGAACTCATGACTTCAGGCTTGCCAGGCAAGCACTTATGCCCCTGAGCTATATCCCTGGCCCATTTTTTTTTTTTTTTGGTACCAGGAATCAAACTCATGACTTTGCACTTGCCAGGCAGGTGCTTGTGCCACTGAGCTCTATCCCTGGCTCCCTCCCCTTTGTTTTTAATTTTAAATTTTGAGACAAGGCCTTGCTAAGTTTCTAAGTTGTCCATGCTGGGTTTCAACTCACCATCTTCCTGCCTCAGCCTCCCAGGGTGCTAGGATCACAGGTGCATACCACCACACCCAGTTTCTACTTCCTCATTTTGGTGATGTAGATTTTCTGTTAGCTTTCTTTTTTTTTTTTTTTTTTTTTTTTTTTCCGGTACCAGGAGTCGAACTCATGACGTTGCGCCTGCTAGGCAGGTGCTGTGCCGCTGAGCTAAATCCCCAGTTCCTGTTAGCTTTCTGACAAAGGTGAAAGGCAGGGATGGTTTTTGAAATCTTAAAAATACAGGATTGCCTCTATTTACACCATGTTTTCTTTTTGTTGTATATAGTTCCTAGATTTTCTCAACTTTATTTTGTGGTACTAGATCAATTTTCTAAATCTTCCCCTGAGTTTTAAAATTTTTTTTCGTCAGATTTTTTTTTGACACAGGGTCTCACTGCGTAGTTCAGGCTGGCCTTGAACTTGCAGTAACCCTCCTGCTTCAGTCTCCTGAGTGCTGGGATTACAGATGTGCACATCATACCCAGGCCTGTCATCAGATTTTTTATTTTAAGCGTTTTCATTATTGTTCTGTGAATGTTCTTGTAAAACAGAATCTTGTTCTTCCTTCATGGGGGAGTAACCTGAGGTTTCTTCTTGCTTCCCCAGTTGTCCCTGGCCCCTCTGAGCATCTCTTATCTGCATATTTTGGTGGCTGTCTTTCCGATCAGAGCTTTCTTGTCCCGGCAGCCATGCGTGTGAGTGTGCAGCTCTGTGCACTTGTGCGGATGATCTCAA